TTTTATTATAGAGTTACAAATTCTTCATGGGAAAAGGATATGATAAGGTTTTTGAGGAAGCAAGTCTAGCAGACAATGTGATCAATAAATGTCTAAATGAAGTCCCTAATCTAGCTCTCCTGTTGCCTCTCGACCTGCTCTACTACTCTACTCGCTCACTCCACTGTAGCCACATTCACCTGTTTCTCAAACACCTCAGAACATCTGCACCTCAAGATCTTTGCTTTTGTTGTTTCCTCTGCCTGGAAATGCTGGTCTCCCAGATATCTGCAGAGTTTTTGCCCAACCTTTCTTGCAGTTTTAGCTCAAATGTTATCTTCTCAGTGAGGTTTTCTATTATCAGCCCTCCCTTAAGCCTGAAATCTCTTCTCCTGCTCTATTACGTTGTAAAATAATGTATAATTGTTTAATTTCAATCTTTCTGCCATTTGCACGTAGCCTCCACAAGGCAGGGATTTTTTTTTTCGTGCCTGTTTTGCTTTTGGTTGTATCCCCGCCACATAGGATGGTGTTTGGCATTTCAGTGCTAACAAGAATTTGTTGAATGACTGAGACAAAGTAAGCAAGAGTCAGAATGTCTATATTTAATAACCTTTAAAAACCTTAAAAAGTCAGCCAAGACTTTTTCCTCCACAAAACTTACCACAATTTAATTATTTAGATTTACTCTTTCCTCTTTAAAACATTTGAGTAAACACTATGTGCCAGGCACTTTGCTATGTGCTGAGAACAAAGATGAATAAGGCCCTGACCTTTCCAAGAGCTCATAGTAAAATAAACTTTTTTAAAAATTTAAAATGAAAAATACAAGGTATGTGTAGGACTTGGTATACAGAAAATTCTAAAGTTTAGCTCCCTTCCCCTCTGGTGTTCCTGCTACTGGTATGAGTAAAGCAAATACTAGACATTAGAGGTGCAGTATAGCATGAAGAAAGAATGAGATAGGCAGGACTTCAGTTTCAGACAAAAGAATAGATCACAGACTGTAACACTCTTACGCAGAAGACCATTATTTAACAAGGTTAGTCTGTCCTGAAGGCTGACAAATGGCTTAGATGACCTGAGAATATTTTGAGAACCATTATGTAAACTTCAAAAGTATCCAAAATTAGCAATATCCTGACGTTCCAACAACTATTAATTATAATTAAAATAAGAAATATAGCAATTAACAGTTAAGTATTAATTAAAACATTTACTAGCCCACACTTACCATCTGCCTCTCCTATGGCAAATACATTTTGTATATGACACCTATAATGCCCTGCCACTTTTCCCTATTTTTCCCTCTCTGGTAACAGCAACTGGGGTTCATAAATAGATTAGATTCACATGAGCAGATCAGTGTCCCTGGAGTCCTTTATGACAGATGTGGCAGCATGGTTACAGGGTGTACTCTCTTCTTTTGAACGGTACAAGAAGTCCTCTGAAATCTACCTCTTATACTTTTCTCTCTTAGTGGTCTTGGTGTAAAAAATTAGGTGTTAGTAACTGAGTCAATTATTCCCAAATTTTGCTCTGATGAATTCTAGAGAAGAAACAACGCTATTAAGGTTTTTTTTTTTTTTTTAAGACTACAAGATGCTTTGGAAATATGTTTTTTTTTTTTTTTTTTTAAGACTACAAGATGCTTTGGAAATATGTTACTGACATTTGCCAAATTAAGCTGGGATTTATTATGTATCTAGATGTGACTGAATCCACAGGCCTACTGTGTCAAAGGTTTACAAATCAGGACCCAGTAGGTTTGCAAAGGTGTTTTATAGATCTCACAAAATTTTAACTCAAATTTTGTTTGCTAAAATGCTTCAATATTTAGAAATTGTAAAAACAGTATTTAGAGATAGGCAAAATTTGTAAAATATTGAAGAACACTAATGTACTGACTTGTATTGTAAGCTTATCTTTTGTGTGGAGCTTATCCTGCCCTGTACTTGTATTTGAGTTTTTCTTTGTTGAGGAAGGTAGCTGCACACTTCAGGCCAGCCCATATTCATTTACATAAACTGTATGCTACTAGAACATGCATACAAGTACATGTATTATAAAAGTGTGGGTTAGTGCATCTAATTAACAATGCTCTGGTCACAACCTAAGAATTGTACAGTAACAAATGAGGGAGTCAAGGTGCTGTTATGATATTGCCTTACAGAGGTCTTTTTAAAAGGGGGGAGATCATATCTATGAGTTTATATAAATACAATTTTTACCTGGTTTACATATTTGGTATTACAAACCAAATAATTATTGGTATTATTTCACTGGGAGAAAAAAATCTTCTACTAAAACTGTAGCACTATCAATGTTGCCTATCTTACCAAGGAATAAAAGATTCTTGGGAATTAAGCACTGACCATTAATTTTTTTTAAATTTATTTTTAAAGAATTCAAAAGGAATTTCTGAACATGGTCAGAATTTCCACCAAGGAATCAACTAGCTGCTTCAGCATTAGAGCATTCCTCAATCTAAAAAATAAAATAAAACAAAATCCCATTATAGGACAAAGTACGATTAGTAATAATAGTAAGTAGTAATAAGTACGAAAAAGAGAAGGAATTTAGCAGGGTTGGGAGTAAGAATGTGGAATCAGAGAATGTGGCATAAGAAAAAAAAAAAATCAAAGAATGCCATCCTCAAAGATATACAAATATCCTAAACCTAAACATAGAGACTCTTAAGTAATGTATGCAATTTCATGCAAATAAACTATTAAGCTAATGGATACACAGAAAAAGCCCTGGATTAAGAGGTGGGGAAGAATGGCAACCACCACTAAGTACTGGTAAGAGCTCTGTACTGGATCAGACTTCAGATACTGAACCAAATGATAATCGGTAAACTTCAGCTTTCTCACCTGCAAAATGGAGATATACTCTATTTACCCAGCCCATTTTAAAGATCAAGTAAGGCTGGGCGTGATGGCTTATGTATATAATCCCTCCACTTTGGGAAGCCGAGGTGGGGAGGATCACTTGAGACCATGAGTTCAACATAACTGGGCAACATAACGAGACCCCCGTCTCTACAAAAAGAATTAGCTAGGCGTAGTGGCATGCACCTGTAGTCCCAGCTACTTGGGAGGCTGAGGCAGGAGGATTGCTTGAGCCCAGGAATTTGAGGCTGCAGTGAGCTATGACTGGGCCACTGTACTGCACTCTAGATGGAGACCCTGTTTCAAAAAAGAAAAAAAAAAATCAAATGAGATACATTTTGAAAAAGATCTGTATCAAAATAGATCCATAAGAAAAATTGAGTGTAAGAAAGGGAGAGAAGGTCAATCTTGTCTCTTTTCCACTACCACTCTCCTAGACCTATAAGCACCAGGTACATGCCCTACTAGCTATATATTACTGAGGACAGAATCTACTAATATTGTTCATTTCTTCAACCTTTTCCTCTTCATTTTCCCTTTTTAAAAACGAAAATCTGGCTGATTTCTGTGACCCCGACATTTACTGAAATTTAAGCAGTGATATGTTGGGATAGCCTGGGTCAAAACAGCTTCCTTTTAGAAAACTTTTAATATTAGTAATACAACTTCAAAATTATAGTAATAGTAGATTTACGTTACCTTATAGAAACAGAATCGCATACTTTTGACTCCTATATTTTTAAAGTTAGTACATTTTGTAATCTGGTCATTTTGAAGGCATGAAACAGCAATGATACTCTGTCACTTACCAAAGAGAAAGAACATCCTTTAGCTTATATAGCAATTAACCCCAAAGAACTTCTCCAAAATTAAAGTCAAGAAATGAATTTAATTATTGGGAGACATATAATAAAAAAATAACTAATATTTCATTCTAAACCCAATACATTTTGGACAGTTCTCATATGTACAATATCTCTGGTGAACATGCATACTCAGACACACAGCTATACACATACAGTGTAAAACATGGAACATAAAAAAAAAAAAGATTGTGTTATTAGTCAGCTTTCATTTTTGCAACCAAAGGTTTTCATTAGCAAGACAGGGCTAATGGATAGTTAATAATTGTTAGTGGAGTTTGCTCTGTATTCTTCTTATAATGACAAATTGAGGGACGATCTACAATGTTATTATGTCCTATGGGAAATACATAGTTCTAGTTTGGAGAGTATTTGGCTCTCTGGATATTTTCTTCTTGCAACAGACTCAGTGAGTGTTGGCACTGGCAGTCTCAAATAAACCAGGAAGGACTAAGTAGTAATAGACTTTTAAGCAAAAGAATAAAGTTAGCCTAATGAATCAGCAAGTATCTATTTCACTTTTTTTTTTATAAGATAGCACTATAGCTGCTTCTCATTTGGCTTTCAAGTATTTGCATGTGAAATGCTTTTTAATTGGAGGACAAATAACAACAATACCTATCATTCTGTGAGCATGAACAGGTGAAGTGCTATAAATAGAAAAAATAGAATTCAATCCTTGTTGTATTAATTTAGTTAAACACAGGCTTTACTACAAGCTTTCTATCAAAGTTCTGAAATCAAAAGTATCTCTTAATTAGTTACAGATGTGTTAGTAGGTTTAACCTTGGACAAATCTAAGCTGGAGAATGACTTAACATTAAATTTTACATTTCAATGGAATACTATCTTTGCATGTATTATTAAGCCTATATTTGCAGCTAAGAAAAAGCAGAGGTCTAATTTTAAAAAGCCATCAAATATTTATGGAAACAAAATCTTGTACTACAAAGCAACTATCTTGAAACTGTTATTTTTTACCCACTTATAAAAAACTAGTTCTCGGATTCTGCATACAGACAGCTTTATGTAAAATATATAAACATTTGTCCAAATTGGTACACAGATTGCATAAATATAGCAATTAAGATTGCATTTACAGATGTGCAGGTACAATGCTGTGCAAATTATCACAATATTACAATTTCAAAAATTATTGGAATTGGTATCCAAGGAAAGCAATTAGTGAAAAAATACCCATGCAGAATTTAAATATCTCCGAACAAAATTTAAAATGTCTTCATTAAAAGTTCACACATTTAAAATAGTTTTATTCATTTTATTTGTATATGTCAAAATACATTTTTATTTCCAAAATAGTGGGTTTTGCAACTAGTTTCATGCAGAAACAAGGTCTGCTCAATACTACCAATAAAATCAATATAGCACAGTAGCTGTTCAGTTTTAGATACAAAGAATAAATAACCTAAATACAAAACACTAAAATATTAGAAACATGTATTTAATCATTCTTCACAGGCATCCAAACTTCACAAATATAAACCATAGCATGCCTAACTGTTGTGCAACCAGAACATGTTGCAATCACTCAAACTGATCAATTATCTGTATATTTTACTTCCACATAAGACCATGGAAATTCTCAATATTCAGACCCACCATTCATACAGTTCAAATATAACCAAAAATAAAATTCCCACAACTATCCTTGTACCTTTAAAATCAAGAATCCTGAGCTTGGTAGTAAGAGCATAACCTTATATCTTCATAAAACCAATCAAGAGAGAGAGGACTGAAAATCCTGCTTACCAAAACACCCTTCCCCAAACCCAAAGTAATCTAAAATAGGCAGTAGAACACAATGACCTTTTAAAATGAAGGGGTACAAATTCACATTTAATATAGTATACAATACAATCAATAATACAATCAGCTACTATAAGCTTTACAATGTATAATTTATTCAAATGGCTGAACTGTTCAGTGGTTAAGGAGACAGTTACGTGCCAGAAAAATGTAATATTTTTTGCATGGTTTAATGAAAATATAAAAGCTATTTGTCCAAATAAAAGCCATCTTCACTACGTACTTGGTTTTGCTTTTTTTTTTTCCCTTAAAAAAAGGCCACTGAAATGTATAAAATGGTCTGAACATGATGGTGGTATCAAAGTCGATGCCTCTTCACATGGCAATAACAGTGCATTTAACATTAACTCATGGGTTAAGTCTGCAAATGATTTCATAGCATTACTTTGGCTAGCACAACAGTTTTAGACAGCACTCTGATAAATATAGGTATGTGAAATGTGAAGCAATTATCTTATGCAACTTTAATTATGGTTGAATACTATCAAATGAAAACTGAAAATAAAAGTAAAAGCACTTTACAGTAGAAAACTTTTGTAAAGATAGGGCTCCACATAATGTGTAACTTTTAAAGTCTTTACATCACATTGTTAGCAAATTTTGTTTTTAACACTATCATGGAGTAGCCTACTTTGCATTAACAGACATTTGAAATAAGAAAATAGTCAAGCATGCCATATGGTGGTCTAAAATGAAAACGATACACTTATTTGTATATACAGCATCACTCAGTACCTGCTAAAACGAATGTGAAGATTACAGAATCTAACATCTTATACTACAATAGTAAAAAAACAAAAACAAAAAAGTGACCAATGAAGGCAGGAAATAGGATTTCAAAGATCTCATCTCAAATGACTTTAAAGCATTCATATAAGAAATAAATGCATATTGCACAAACAGTGAAAGCAAATGTTCCACCAAGCAATTCAGTTCTGGGTGGGAGACAACACAGCATTAGCCTAATACATGACAATAATCGCAGAAGAGCAAGTGTTCTTTTCTGTAAATGAAAAAGCTGTGAAAACATAGAAGACTCTGCCACATGAAGAGTTAGAAGGAAAAAATACAAACCCAAACTTAGACATAAAGCCAAGAAAATTAAATATCAAAAAACTGGAAACTGTGGCACATCAAAAAATGTTGAATAACTGTCTTCTGTGAGAGCTGAAAGTTTTTGTTGACACAAAGTATTTATGTACAACTAAGGCGTACTGGTTAAATATCTGAGGCATATCTGGCCTTGAACACTTTCCTTATATGCTGGAGCTGTAAACAAGTTTTCTCAGTCATTTAAAAAAAAAAATCTTCTCAGCAGCTGCATTAACATGAAACAATGGTCTTGATAAAAAAAAAAAAAAAAAAAAAACCAACAAAAACCCCCAGAAAATTAAACAAAATGAAACAAAAATTCTAAATAAGAGGGCATTTGGCAGGATATCCAAAAATGACAGTCTCCAAGGATTCTTCCCAGGCTTCCAGTGACTGCCAATTATGGTCCACTGGGTTACTAATATGTGCAATTCCATTACTTGCTGCTTTTTTTTTTATTTGGAAAGTTTGCTTATAACTCTGATCAAGGCCCCATTTTCATCTTTTAGCCTCTGGTTGTCTGCTTTTAGGTCCGGTAACATCTATGAGAGAAAAAGAGAAGAAAAGGTTTTACTTTAATAAAAAAATAAAATATTATTTTTAATAAATGTTACATTTTCACCACAAAACACATGATCAAGCTTTGTCTAGTGTCTAAAACATGTATCAAGAAGAAAGGAAAAAACCCACCCAGATTTGTGAAACTAATTAGTTTAATAAATGATAGAATTAAAGGTTTATTCTCTCAAAGTTATCCATTGAAATTTACTAAATCACTTGATTTTATGACCCACAAGCACACCAGATTAGAGCAGCCAAGATAATGAAGCCTGCTTTTGTTAGGATAGGCTAAGGGAGTTCCTTTAATAGTTCCTGTCAGCACCTAAACCTTTTGCTTTCTGTCTGTCACACCTAAAACCATAATACTTACTATTGTTCCTCAAGAAATTGACCCCTCTAGGAAAGTATGGAAGGAGTTAGACTTGTTCTAAATTATTTAAATTCCTTATTCACCTATAGTACCTAAGTTTAATACCTAAGACAATGCCTAATTCAAGACAGATGTGTATTAAATGGTAACAAAACAACTATTACTATTACTATTCTTAGACTATAAAATAATTTTTAAGCTAAAGTAGTAAATCTGCATCTATGATCCAAGCATTAAAAAAATAACGAGTATTTTGAAGTGAACAGAAAAAAACACACCCTCATATCTTCAAAAAAATGCAACTCAATTTTCTGTTGTTTTACAGACAAATTGATGGAGGGAGTGGAAATATTACAAGTTAACTGAATTTTCTACTAAGAATGATTAAAATTATATGTCTCTTCCAGGTTCACTAGGAAATGAACTACCTTATATTTTGGTCTTTAAACTATACTTTCCAAAATATTTAGTCCTCTTTCCTCAGTTTGTAAAATATACTAGATTATCTAATTAGATAAAAGTAAAACTTCTACTTGCAAAACTATCTTAAGCAAAATCTTTAGGAAGAGTTTAATTTTATGTGGAGCCAATCAATTCTTATCTGTGTCCAAAATGTTTACATATAAAATATAGTAATTTGAAGTTTACCCATTTGGATATCTGTAATAGAGAATTAAATGAATATAAACTAAGATGGTCCTGATTGCTAATGACAGTATTTTGAAAAACAGATAATGCATGCTTAATCTTCAGCTTCAAAATATATTAATTGTACATAAAATATGTTACACTGTTTCTGTTCTATTTTCTTTCTAGTAAAGAACTGTAAATAATAGCCATATTTTAAGCCCTAAAATATTTGTAGAGCCAGAAATGTGCACAAGCTTTACGAAAGTACGGACAAGTCTTTAAATTCCTAAATCATTTCCTAATTTTACTGTAGTTCATCAGTTATAATACACAATTAGTGACACTTTCTAACATTCTAAGAAGCCATGCAGAATTAAACAGTTATATGATAAGCTCCAGACACAATGGCATTAATTTGTAAAAGTGAGCTCTTACTAAAACAAAAACACACTTACTAATACAAGAACACCTGCCTGGCTCTACCAAGAAGAAATGATGAAACTAAAAATTATAGGTTCACAGACTGCAGTTGCCTACAGAACCCTGAGCGCTTGGCTACCACTCTTGTCAAGGCCCTATTCTCAGTCAGCAGTCGCTCATTTAACTCTCTCAGAGTTTGAATTTGCTTTATTTGGTGCAGGTTCTGCAGGAATCAGAACATAAAGAAATAAGAATAAAAAATAAGAAAATGGAAGACAGCATGATAAGAATATAAAGAATCACAG